TGTATAAAGTTATTTAATAGTTTCTACTAGAATTTTAGAGCTTGTAATAGGAAATGTTAGATTAAGCTCTGTAATCAAATTGAGATCTGTAGATAGTTGAGGTTTGTTTGTAAGGTTAACAGTCATATACTGTAGTGATAATAGAATGTTGAACTTATTTGTATCTTGTATTTTCACTAGAAATTTTTTTGTCAAGTAATAATCAATTATAGGAAAATTATAAGTAATAAAGATTTTGATTTGATTTGGTTTTTTTGAAAGTAATTTTTTTTGAATAAAGTAGTTATTTGGGATTTTGTAAAAACTATAATGTTCTTGAAAGATGTTTATATAAAGTTTGAAATTGGTTGCATCTTTAGAGTTATAAGAAAAAAGGTATCTTATAACAGAGTTAAGGTTTTGAGATATTGATAGTAAAGGTTCTTAAGTAGGTGATAAATTAAAGTAGTTGGATGGTATATGATCAAAGTTGTAATATTTGTGCAGTTTTTGTCTGTAATTTGCTAGATAAGGTAGTTCAGATTGACTTGTTATTGGAAAAATTGCATGTGTTTCTGCATTTAAATTAGTTGAGTTGTTAAAAAGAGAGATGATAAGATTAGCAAAGTAGCTGTCATTAAGTTGGTCAAAAGTATAGATTTTATAAAGTGCTAATATTGTTGCTCAAGTATATTTTCAATCTTTAATTAGAAATAGAAAGAGAAGTATTTCTTTTATATTTTGGTCAATTAGATTGGAAGAAGTTGGTAGTAGAATAAGGAGTTAAGAGTATGCTTTATTAAGAAGTTTGTATGTTTCTTCAAAAGTAAGTACACAAGAGATTTGTGCAAGGTTGAGGTAGTAGAATATGTGTTTTGTATATTCATAAGGACTGGTTGTAAGAAAATCTAGGTTTTTAATATAATCTAAAGTAAGTTTAATTTTGAGTTTTTTGTGGATTTGATCTTTATTAAATTTGTTAATCAAAATAATATTATGTAATTTTTTATATTTTTCAAGAGTGATTTGATATAAAGAGTTGAATTCTTTTTGGTGTTAAAAAGTTGTGACTTTTGTTTTTATAAAAGAGTAAAAAAATGCTATATCTAAATAATTGAATTTTTGGTTAATAGCATATAGGATGTTGTGATTTGAAGAAATAGTTTAAATTTTGTAAGTAAAAAATTCTAAAAGTTATTGTTTATTATTAAGAACTTCAATCATTTTATCATTGTTCCAAGTTTGAAGATCAAACTTAGATACTTATCTTGCAGCAAGAGTTTTAGTTACAAAATTACACCAATCGAAAGTTATATTGTTTTTTTGTTTTAATAGGTTTAATGTTACTGCTTTACTATAAGATTTATTAGTAACAGGTTGATTATCTTTAGAAGTATTAGAGATAATGTTCATGTTGTCAATATGCATAGTTAGCATTAATGTTAATTGAGTTGGTAGAGCTTTTGTAAGTGTAATTGGTTTAGGATTTTATAGGTTGTTTTTTGAAATAAAACTATTAAATACAGATGCTGAGTATAGTGAATTGGGTAATGTAATAAGAAAGTTTTGCAGCATAAGAATATTTACTGATTTGGACATATTTGTTTGGATGGCTGTAGTATATGACATTATTTAAAATTTTATAAGAGATAAACTGAATTGCTTACTTTTTGTTAAATTTTTTTGACAAAAATAAGATGTAAAAGAAACAAAAGAGTTAGAGTTGTTAGTTTTATTTTTTTTTAAGAAAGAAAATTTTGTTTCTAGTTCTGCATTTTTTTTAAGTCTTTCATTTTAGAAAACTTGAAATGTAACTAGTATAACTTGGATGTTTAGCTAAACTGAAGCCTTATAAAGATCCATCTGAGAAGGTAACAGCACTGAGTCAGTATTAAAAGAAGTTTTGAAGTCTTGTAGTTTAATAGTTAGGGTTTTTTGTTTTTTGGCTATATTGAATAAGTTTTAAGTATTTTGAGAGTTTATTTTTTCTCTTTTTAAGTATCTTTTGTTATATTTTAGTTAATATATTTAATATTTTAGTACCAATTTTTTGTTTACTTTTTGTTTTTTAATGATCTCACTTGTACACATTTTTGATATACTATGTATAAGTTTTTTCTATAATCATAGTTTAGCTTACATATAACTGTAATTATATATAATGTAATTAGATAAAAATGACTATATTGAGAAACAACTGTATTTATTAATATAAGTTATTTATATATTATTTGAATAAGTATTATATAGTGGGTAACATGGCATTATGAATACTTTTTGGTTTTAATAGTTCAAAATCAGGTAAGTAAACATAATACAAAATTTTTGTCACATGATTAGTAGATCTTAAGATACAACATACTACAATTTTATACAATTTCATTTGATTACACAATAGTTATATAAAAAAGCCCATGAACTTTGTTTTTTTATTTGTATTAAATCTTAAAATTTATGTTTTTTTTTATTTTTTTACAATTTTTTTTTAACAAAAAAAAAAACTAATTATATTTTAATATTTGAAAAAACTCTTTTTAGCCTTTATACAAGCATCAACCTGATCAGGCATGCTAATGATAAGTTTACAGCAAAGTTCTAGTAGTGTATCATACCATGCTCTTTTAACAAGAATGTCCAATTCATTGAGATTACCTGGTCTTTTCTTTTGACATAGAGACATCTTTACCTCAGACTACAAATTCTCAATTGGATTAAGATCTGGGCTCTGTAGAGGCCAGTTCATCATATGAACCCAATTTTTATTTAAAAATTTTACCGATGCTGCATCAATATAGAGTTTTACATTATTCTGAATAAAAATTGGATGATCAAAATTACTGTTTCTAAGAAATTTTTTTATAGTAGGAAGAGTATACTTCCAGAGAATTTCAAGGTATAAAACATCAGTTGCAGAAGATTTTAGAAGAACAAAGGGCACAACTTTGAATCAGGAGAAGCAGCTCCAATATATATGACCTAGGCTATAATCTACAGTACATTCTACATAGTCAATTTCTTATTTTTTAGATGATTTATGCTATACATGACTGGAGAACCAAGAAAGAGACAAACATAGGTCTTGTCTAATCACAACACATGCTTAAAATGTCAAACAAACCAATCTTGATATGCAAGTACCTATTCATATCTTTTTTGAACATTTGCAGCTGAAATAAATAGTTTCAGGAGGGCCACATGTGAGAACAAGTTTAAGTTATGCAAAGCATGACACATGGTCTACTCAGAAATTTTGGTTTCACTTTGGCAATTATGAAGGTTGGTTATTTGGATTAGACTAAGGCAGTAGTTACTATTTATGACTAAGTTCTTTAGGTCTTCAAAATCTGAAGCAGTTAGAATCTTTGAAGGACCAAGTCTTTTTTTTTTTTTTGTGCTTCTTCACCCAACTCATTATATTCCTTTATTATATTTCAGATAGCTAACTTGCTACAACCAGCTGTAATTGCAATTGTATGAAGTGAGTTCTCATATTTGTGCTCATAAATTATTTCACCTCTTTGACTTTTTGTTAAATCTTTCTTGTAGCCTATTTTTTGTAAAAAAAAAAAACCCCCAATAATTTTTTTTTTATTTATACCAATCCATTATATATATTTGCCTTTTTTTATATTGCATAATATTACCTAGGTATCATACTACATTTGAGCGAAATTTGAAGTGATTCAAACAAAAATTCAATTTTTTATAATTTTTTTTTTTTTAAAAAAAAAAAATTCAAAAAATCAATTTTCATATATATCCAAATATGGCAGTTTGCTTATCTTTTACATAACTTTGGTGCAATCTAATGAAACTATGTGAAATTTTAGTATGTTGTATCTTGAGATTTACCAAACAAGTAAAAAAAATTTTGCACTATGTTTACTTACCTGATTTTGAACTATTAAAATTCAAAAAGTATCTATAATGCCATGCTATCCTATTGTATATATTAAATCATATAACAAATAATATCTGTTCTTAATGCATTTATAACAGTAAGCTTAAAATCTATCAAAATAAATTCTGGTTCTAAACAAATATTATAGTCTTTACTGAAGTCAATTAAGTTTTAAAATAATTTGTTATAGTATAGCTCTGATTTACTAAACATTAAGGCATATATAAGAGATAAAACTTTAAAATTATTATCATTCAACAATCCTATAAATTGTATATAATTGTTAAAAAATAGTTATTATAGTATTAAAGGTTCTATCTATTAGCTAAACTAATAAATTGCTTAAGTAACAATATTTGAAACTGTAGTAAAAAGCAAAATTTATTTATTACTAATAGTAGAATTCTTAATTAAAAAATCCAAATTATCTAAAGTTTTTTAAATTATTAGAAATAATAATATTGTTTAGTAAATTTGATAATCCAGAAGAAAGGTTTAAATATCAAATTTATTGCACTATTTGGCAAAGTAAATCATAGAACTAAACATATAGATAAATATTTAAAAGTTTATTTGTAATAACAGATTAAATAATCTGTGATAGTAGACTAAGAGTTTGTCTTACTAGTTCTTTTATTTGATTATTTAATTTTCTAACACTAGTTCTACTTATTTCAGCAGCATGATTATGTTTTTTATCTTTTTAAGAATATGTTTTCTATTAATTAATATAATATTAGCATGTCTGCCATAATTCAAAATATCATGCTTCTTACAACACCAATAATAGAGATTTTCTTAATTTTTATTTTTTGTTATGATATAATTATAAATATTAATTATAGGTTTGTTATAGACTAGAAGAATAATTTCACAAGTTGTAAGCTTTATTGAAATAAAATAAAAAAAAACAAAAGAATTTAAAAATAAAAATTTAAAAGATTTAAAAATAATAAGGTAATAACTGTTTTTAAAATAGTAAATTCAACTATAAATTGTTTGATTTTTACTAATATATATATATATATTGATTTATATAAGTTTTCTAATAAGAATAATTTAAATTTATTATATATATAAATATAATTAAAAAATAATTATAATAAATTCAAAAAAATAATTAAAAATTGCTATTATACTATAATATAATTATAATAAATCTTTAAATTTTATTAATTTTATTATATAAATATGATGATTTTATCAAAAATTTCTAATCAAACTTATTAATTATCAAATTAATATAATAATTTATCAAATTTATAATAATTTTTACATATTAATTATTTAATATATACATTTATTTTATAATATGAAAAAAAATAGTAAAAATAATAAATATTAATAAAATATAAATTTTTGTCTTTATAGAATTGAAATTAAAAAGGACAAATATAATATATTCATTTATTTTCAATACAAAAAAAAAGTAACTAGAATGGTAAATATTTATGAAACATATGATCTTAAGAATTGTTACCTTAATGAAATTAAAATTGAAAAGAAAAATATAAGACATTCATTTATTTTTAATATAAAAAAAAAGCAGCTAGAATAGTAAATATTAGTAAAATATATAATCTTAGAAATTGGTACCTTAATAGAATTAAAATTAAAAAGAAAAATATAAGACACTTATTTATTTTTAATACAAAAAAAAGTAACCAGAATAGTAAATATAAGTGAAACATATAATTTTGAAAATTGTTGTCTTCATGAAATTAAAATTAAAAAAAAAAATATAAAACATTCATTTATTTTAATACAAAAAAAAAGTAGTCAGAATAATAAATACTAATAGAATATACAATCTTAAAAATTACTACTTCATAGAATTAGAGTTGAAAAGAGTGAATATAAAATATTCATTTATTTTTAATACAAAAAAAAATAGTCAGAATAATAAATGTTAGTAAAAAATATGATCTTGGAAATTGTTATCTTTATGAAATTAGAATTGAAAAAAGCAAATATAAGATGTTTATTTATTTATAATATATAAAAAAAAAAACAGAATAATAAATACTAGTGAAACATACAATCTTAGAAATTGCTATATTCATGAAATTAGAGTTAAAAAGAAAAACATAAAACTTATTTATTTTACAATACAAAAAAAAAAAAAATAACTAAAATAATAAATGTTAATAGAATATATAATCTTAGAAATTGTTACCTTTATGGAATTGAAGTTAAAAAGAAAATATAAAACATTCATTTATTTTTAATATAAAAAAAAAAGTAGTCAGAATGGTAAATACTAATAGAATATACAATCTTGGAAATTATTATTTTTATGGAATTGGAATTGAAAAGAAAAATATAACATTCATTTTGAGAATTACTATCTTTATAGAATTGAAATTGAAAAGAAAAATATAAAATATTTATTTATTTTCAATATAAAAAAAAAAGTAGTCAGAAAGATAAATGTTAATAAAATATATGATCTTAAGAATTATTATCTTCATGAAAATTGAAATTAAGAAAGGTAAACATAAAACATTCATTTATTTTCAATACAAAAAAAAAGTAATTGAAATAATAAATGCTAATGAAATATATAATCTTGGAAATTACTATTTTCATAAAATTGGAGTTGAAAAGAAAAATATAAGATATTCATTTATTTTATAATATAAAAAAAAAATAATCAAAATAGTAAATATTAGTGAAACATGTGTTCTTGGGAATTGTTACCTTAATGGAATTGAAGTTAAAAAGAAAAATATAAAATATTTATTTATTTTACAATATAAAAAAAAAATAACCAGAATGATAAATTTTAGTAGAACATATGATCTTGAAAATTAGTATCTTAATAGAATTAAAGTTGAAAAAAATAAATATAAAATATTCATTTATTTTATAATACAAAAAAAAAACAAAAATAGTTGGAATGGTAAATATTAGTAAAACATGTGATCTTAGAAATTACTATCTTCATGAAATTAAAATTAAGAAGGACAAACATAAAATATTTATTTATTTTCAATACAAAAAAAACAGCTAAAATTATAAATACTAATAGAACATATAATCTTGAAAATTATTATTTTTATGAAATTAGAATTGAAAAGAATAAATATAAGACATTTATTTATTTTTAATATAAAAAAAAAAACAGTCAAAATAGTAAATAATAATAAAATATATAATTTTGAAAATTTCTATATTTTTAGAATTAGAATTAAAAAGAAAAATATAAGATACTTATTTATTTTCAATACAAAAAAAAATAACTAAAATAATAAATATTAATAGAATATGTAATTTTGGAAATTACTATCTTCATGAAATTAGAATTAAAAAGAATGAATATAAGATGTTTATTTATTTTCAATATAAAAAAAAGTAACCAGAATAGTAAATATCAGTGAAACATATGATCTTAAAAATTACTATTTTCATAGAATTGAAGTTGAAAAAAAACAAATATAAGATGTTTATTTATTTATAATACAAAAAAAAAAGTAGCTAAAATGATAAATATTAGTAAATACACAATCTTGAAAATTGTTATATTTATAAAATTGAAATTGAAAAGAGCAAACATAAAACATTTATTTATTTTCAATACAAAAAAAAAAAAACAGTTAAAATGATAAATATTAGTAGAACATTTGATTTTGGAAATTAATATCTTCATAAAATTGAAATTAAAAAAGACAAACATAAATATTCATTTATTTTTAATATAAAAAAAAACAAATAATTTTGTCTATTAAATAATTTTATAATTATTAGTGAAATGATTATGTTGGAAAAATAATATATCAAGTAAATAATATATTAGATAAATATGATATATTAGAGAAATAATTATATCAGATAAATGATATATCAGGTAAATGATATGTTGAGAAAATGATCATATCAAAGAAATGATCATGTTAGGAAAATAATCTTGTTTAGAAAAATAATTGTCAGAAAAATTAACATATCTAAAAAATAATTATCAGAGAAATTAACATGTTAGAAAAATGATTATCAGAAAAATGATTGTCAGAAAAGAGGTTGTCAAAAAAATGATTGTTAAGAAAATGATAAGGACTCAAAAAAGTCATCTTAATACAAAAAAAAAAAAAAATTCTTAATAAAATACTAATGCAACTACTTAAAGAAAAAAAAAAATTTCAAAAATTAATCTAAATAGCCTTTAGTAACAGATATGAACTTACACTAATATGACAAACTGCTTTTAAATACTTTTATAATAACAAAAAATATCAAACCTATATATTAAACTAACATTTGTATGATTAATTATGAAATTCTCTTAGTAAAAAATATTGACAAAACTGCCAAAAATTTTTTTAAAAAAAATTTTTAAATAATTTATCAAAAAAATAACTATTGAATAAATTAAATGTAACAATTAAATATATAAAACTAAATGTGCTTTCTATATTAATACTAATTTTATTTATAAAATAACTTATAACGTTTAGCCAAACCCGACACGAACCAGTAATATAAGTTCAAATTCGAACCGAACCCAAACACTAATTTCAGTTCGGGTTCAGTTCAAATTTTGAACCGAACCCGAACCTACTATAGGTTCGGGTTCATAGGAACACTAGCCACACCCCTGCTAACTCCCACCCTAATAATTTATATTGATTTCTATTAACAAGGGTATGGCAATATTAAAAAGGGAAATATCAATTTACTAATTGCATTCACAAACCGCATTCACTCATTGCATCCCTAACTGTATTAACTAATTACATTCACTTATTACACGGTCTGATTTGGAATAATGATTTTTATTCATACGGATAGTTATTTGGTTGTTCCGTCGCTCAATAGACGTATTAAAATCCGTTTTTTTAAAAATTGAAAACTATGACAAGCCATGAAGGTTATTAAAATTATTATTTTACCATATTAAAGTTTGTGACCTGTGCTTAGCCATTTCTTAGTTAGAATATGCGTAAAATAAGTTAAAATGTTAATATAAGTATTTATAATTATATTCGGAACATTATCGTTAATATTACCTATAATTCTCCATCCGGCTGTTATGGGATCGGTTAAATTATCTTCTTGCTTGGTAATCACACATAAGTATGTAGATTGATCGATTTGATCTTCTCGCCCATATATTATTTCTTTGGTTATTTGATCACGAAATACTACTACTTCCTGCGCATTAAACGACACAACTAACACCGGTATACCATTCTCAAGTACTTTGGCTGTTGCCAACTTAATAAATAATTAAGATTACTGTTAAAATTGGTTTATTATTAAAAGTATATACAATCAAGTTTCATTGTATTTGCTTACCTCTACATCTCTAATATCCAGCACCCTTGAATCGCTTACAAGACCTTGCTGAATCTGTGATTGCATACCATGGTTCAATAATGAATACGTCTATATTCATTTAATTATCTTTAATTAATCTATAAATAAGTTTGGATTTTATTCATTAAATTACGTAAATTGTTGTTATTAATAACTCACTGCTTCTGAACACCATATTTTTAAAGTTTCCATATCTCCTTTCAGATATGCCTCCATTATTTCTGGTATAATAAACTCCCTTAATTCTTTCATAAACTCTTCAATGTTAAATCCTGGATCTACAATTTTTAATTGTGTAATTGCCTGCGCCGTTTCATTCTCTTGAAAAAATGATCCTATAATAAAATTATTCAGTTAAAAACATAGGAAATGGTAACTATCTCAATTAATATATTCACTATACCTAATGTGTATGAAATACGGTCTGTGAATTCTCTAGTAAATGCAATGATGGCATTATCACTATCTTGATAATTCCTTTTCATGTTAAATATGCCTTTTAGTGTAATATAAATAAATAATCATTACTTTAAATTATAAAAAAGAAATATTGATAAACAAAAATTTTCATACTGAACCTTGCATAACTGGATTATTTTCTTTAAACTTATTCCAGCTTTCCTTCCATGCTGAATCTTTATGGAGTACCATAGATGCTCCTGCTCTATTTGATCAAAATTGGAAGGTTGAATCTGTAAGTTCCAAAAAATCATCAGAAACAAAGTATTACTAGCCTATCTTAATATAATTAATGTGAATAAAAACAGCAACTTACTCTGGGTTTCTCTCAATAACTCGTCTGGCTTTTGCTCCATATTTTGTTGATTCTTCCTTCATTTTTCTTCTTGTTTCTTTATCAATGAATCCGCCATATTGAGATATATCATCTCCTACTGTTTCTTTCAATGTATCACGGATGTTTGCATACATCTTGGTTTGCCGTATTGGTTCTGTAGTAGACGATATTTTGGATGACATGTTCGAAATCTAGAAAAAGTAAAACAAATAAAAAACTTAAACTATTTATAAAATCAATACTTGTTCAATCTTATAAAGGATATTAATGTTTTTTACCGTTTCTTGAGTTCCTTTAATAGTCCCTTTAACATATGGATTCTCTCCAACATCTTTGATCGTGTCCGAAACTTTAGTTCCAATCTTTTCTACTGATTTTTTAAGTCCATCAAGTTTTTCGGATCTTCGTATTGTTTCTTCCTTAAATTCGTAATATACAAATATGATCATGATTAAATATGATTCATCCAAAAAGTTCTCTAGCGAGATCAGTTAAGTTGCTAAATTTATTCTCATGAACTATCCTATGACAAGGTACTCTTTACCCAGGAAATCGGTATATGAAACGGTTAAAATATTCATACCCTAGCCTTAGCATAAGCTTCTTTCGCCTTTTTTAAAGTCTCCGATTCTCCTAATTGATCTGCTTGGTCTTGTAATAATTTAACATTTTGTTGGAATTCTTTGTTCTTTTCAATTTGTATTTTGAGATTTTCTACAAATCTCGCAAATAAACCGATATTACGAGAAAAGACTGGTCGATGGAATATCCGATTTTTTGTTTTCGTAACCAATGAATTTAAGAGAACAGTTCGTGAAAAAGAGCAAAGCATACTTATTTTAATTAAGCTTCTGAGGTCAAAATCACCTAAAAAAGATTTGGCTTATCGTTATTTAGATTGATAAATATTTTAGCCAACTTAAAAAAATTTTTATTGGTGTAAAAAGTTTGGCCCGCTTTTTACTATGGGTTGGAACCGGTTTTGATAATTCGAGTTTATCTCGTGAATTTTGGGATATTTTAGAGACTTATCCAATTAAATTTTAATAAATTCTAAAATATCACAAAATTCATGTGATAATCCGAATTATTAAAACCCGCCATTTTGAGAGCTTTTTAAAAATTTAAAATTTTTGACTTGGTTCATCAGGCCTCTAGGATCTGGTAAAAAGTATAATGAAGGTGAATTCAGTAACAAGGAGTCAGAACATTGACACATAGAAAATTCTCTGTCAGTTCAGTTTGATTGAATTGTTTTTTTTTTAGAATATAAGTTTTAGTATTAAATATATTAATTAGATAGAAATAAAATAGAGATTACTGTATTTAGTAATATATAATTTTTGGTAAGTTGACACAGTTTTTATAATTGCATAATTAACTGTTTGATTTTTTATTAGTGATCAGTGAAAATGTCTTAATTTTTCGTGTAATGTATTTTGCTATAAGATCATCATACGAAATTTTCTCATTTTTCTAATAAAATTAAATAAAATATAATCTTTTCTTTATGTTAGTTATATAAAGACATAACTTACTGTACCTTTATGCTATAACTTTTATTATTTTCAAGGTTCCTATCTTTTTAATAAAAAGCCTACCAACCTTAACATCCCAAAAACCGAAAAAGATCTTCTGTTCAAAAAGGAATAATAACATTGTGATTCTTATTTGCTTAAATCATTATAATCACTATTAGAAGCATGGTTAAGATACCTTTGAAACTGAAAAAATGATTTAAGTAGTATTTAAAGTATATTGAAGATAGTTATTTTAATATTAGAGTGCAGTAACAAAAAGCAATGACTAAGAATGAAAACAAGGCAATTTAAAATCTACCAAGTAGTAATCTTTGTAGACATTATAACTTTCAATATTGCTATTAATAATGTAAAGGAGTGACTAAGAAGAAAAGAAGGTACTTAAGTGGTATTTAAATCGTTGAAGATGGTGGTCCCATTGCAGCACAGTATAAATATTATTATAATTAGGGTTTTCCCAACACAACTATGCTTAGAATATATAAAAAACACATACTCTAAGCATGGTTTTGCTGGGTGACAATCCCAATTAATATAAGTAGGTAGAATATGCTAAAAGTGGTAATTATATTAGAAACTCTAGTCTTTATTTTAGTTGTTATCAATTTATATGATTTTAACATATTATGTAAATTTATATAGACGAAAGTATCAAATTGAAAAAATTTTATTATCTATTTTTTCAATGATCGATTTATATAATATTCTATCTGGTTATATGACTTTAAATTTATCAATATGTATGTAATTGTATTATAACTTTATGATTAGATAATAAAATTATAAAATATATTATGCAATTTATTTATTTTTTATAGTTTTTCCAATATGTAATAACCTGTTCTTTTGTCTAACCTGGATCTACATCTTGAAGTTCATGAAGGACTTTATACAACAATTGATCGTCATTAGAAAAAGAGTTACAAGTAAGTAATTGAACAAGAATTTCTTTTGCATTATTACTTGTGAACTGGCAGATATATTTAAAAGAAGGATCTTTTTCTGATTCATCGTTATTGGTAATAGGTTTACCAGATTCATTATTATTATTGATAATAGGTTTACTGATTACACTATCAACACATTTTCTCTTTTTATCTTTACTATAGTTACTTATCAATGTCGATAGTTTATATATATTTACATTATGCCGCCTGTGACCTTTAACAACTCGTGCTTCAGTTTTTAAAATTTCTTGACAATATAAAAAATTCTGTCTATTTATTCCTTCTGTATAACATGATAAAATAAGAGAAAACTCTGTTTTATTTATTTCCATTGTATTTTTGAAAAGTTCATGTGTTGTTGGATTAGGTAAATAAAATGCAGTTAATAGAGTGTCAGCAAGTTTCCATATAGCTTCTTTTAGTGATTGTGCATTGCGGTCCTTATTTATTGTAATTATGTCTCCTATATATTTAGATAGAAGTGCTTGAATCCTATCTCTTTCAGATTGAGCTGATGCTATTTGTAATTTTAGTTGTTCACTATCTATTATATTTGCTTTAATAAATTGCTTAATAAACTTTACTTCAAAAACTTCTAGTACTTTATCCAAAGCAAAGTAGTAGCCAGGATGTGTAAGGTTTACTGAACTTACATATTTAAGTAGTTTTTGTAATAGAAGATCATTGAGAACTTGAACTAAATAATAGGTTGATGATCGTACATAATTGCTTTTACTAGCAACAAAAAAAAGAGAGGAAAATGCCAATAGGGAATCAAACTGTAATTTATGATCACCTCTTCGTATTCCTATTTTATGATTAATAATATATCCCATCTAACAAAAATAAAGAAACCAAACTTTCACTATACTATTTTCTTTTTCAATATTACTTATAACCTCATTACATTTTCTACCTTCTAAATATTTAGTTAGTGCAATTCCTACTGTCATCCATATTAATTTCAAAACATGAAAAGTGCATCATAATTAACGACTCTTTCAAGTTTATCTAAGTAACAGACCCCAAGTTGTGCAGCAAGAGAAAAAATCTCATACCCTGAAAAAATAGTGATTAAAGTAGCACACATCACTTTTGATGTATGCCATTGACCTAAGAGCAATCAGACAAATTTACTTTTTTTTGAATCTTTATATAAAATTAGTTTTTGAAAAATAGCCTCATCTGATACAATATCTAAATAATCATTTTCTGTTAATTGAAGATCATTAAAGTACATTTCACAAGAATTATGTATATTTGCATCACAATTGGGTTGATCACCCAGAGTAAGAATAACAAGATTAGAATGAGGAACCTGACATCCTAAAAAACATTTTTTGTAAGTTTATTATATAAACTATCAATATCCCAATTGCTTGAGTATAATTCTATAAGCCTATTAAAAATATTATCATGTTTAGAACTTTGAATTTTAATAAAATTTGATTTACTGAACAATATTTTTTTATTAGTTTATAGTTTAAACTGATAAGAGACTTAAGTAGTACTGGTAGAGTAAACTAAAAAACTAATCGTAAAGTAGCATGTGAAGTACTATGGCTATTATCGAAAATATTATTATACTTAAATGTACTTTCTTTAAAATTGATATTGTCAATAACTGACACATTTCAAACATTCTTGCCTTTTATTAATCTTTGATTCAGATTTGCTTTAATCATTCTATTCTTTTCTAACCATTGTTCACATCTCTGAGTATGAGATAATATATTCGCTGTGCATAAAACACTATAAAGTGATGTTAACAGTTTTGACTTGTGTGCCAAAGAGCTTATTATATGTATAAGCCAAATATCAGTAGCTGGAAAGACAATAGTAAGAATTACTGATATAAAAAACACTGAAATTTTTTCTATTCGAGTTTGATCAAAAGGTTTAGCTTCTAATCCTCTTTGTTTCCTTTTTTTATTTACAATGTCATGTTTTTTTTTTTGTAATATTGTAATAAGACTATTAAAAAATCCTAAAAGACAAGCTGAAAAGGCAGATTGATATTCAGTCAAAGAATTTGGATTCTCAAGAATTTTCTTATTTTGACGCACTTCATATTGAGATTTCCATGTGATGCTACCTAAAGTTTCTTCAGTCTTTTTTGATACCTTAGGAGTAAAATCTCAGTCATTTTCCATTATCTTTGTAAGATTGACTTGTCCAAGGTGAAGAGCTATTTTGATATATAACAGACTAGGTGAGTCTAAAGTATATGATTTAGTTTTATCAAAAAATAATAATGTTGAATTAAGATATATTAATAATAGTTCTTTTTGTGTAGAATTATCTGATGCTGCTACATTTAGAATCCATTGTCCTAAAAGTTTAAGCACTTGTGTTGTATCATCTTTATATTTGTCTTTACATGAAAAAGGTTGACTTCCGCTATCTTGACGTCAAAATAAATGACCACCTTGAGTATCAAAACATTGAGTGCAGATATATCGAAGATATTTGCTATTGCTATTATTATTTTTTTTGTTTGAATCATTATTTTCGACAATTTTATGATGTTTTTCAGTAAATGCTAGACATTCTTTAAGGCCTAAACAAGGTACTTGCACAACACATCCTACTATGTGCACAGAATGTTGAATACAACTAACATCATGACAAAAAAAATATTTATCTTTGTTGCAGAATAAATACCGATATTGATATATCTAACTTTTCTCAATGTCTTGTGAATTTTTAAGATTTCAAGTGTGAAGGTCATTTTGATCAAAACCAAAGTATGATCCACAAACACCTAAAGAATATAATTGATCATTTTTTACAGATTTAAATGTCTCACCATCAACTTTCCATGTACCAATCAGCTGTGCTAAAGGTTGTTGAGTTTTTTGTTTGTATTTTGTACATCATTGTATTTGGCCATTAACTATATGTAAAAGAACACATGGTATTAATTGATTTTTTTCACAATTACTTTCAAGAAAATAATTTAAACTTTCTGTTGACTGTATTATTGATGATGCTATTTCTGAAGATTCATAATTCAAATCTTCCCACTCAATTTCATCATCATAATTACATTTTTTTTCATCTGCTAACATTTTTGCTTTTTCAAAAGCTGATTTATCCCACACAAATAATGGTTCTATTTTATTGTTTTTACTTACATTATCAATTTCACTAGCATTAACATTACTAATTTCACTAATATTATTCCCTGTATTCTCAATTACAAGGTTTTCTGTAGCTGTAACAGAACTCATACTATCATCATCAAGCATATTGTAGTTGCTATCAGGATTATGCAAATCAAATTCATCCTCATTTATTCCAAGTAAAAAGTCCTCATTTGACTGCTTGTCTAGAATTAATTATATGACATAAATAAAATAGACTTATCATCTCAATTATTGTTTTTATTATTTTTAATAGTATTCAATTTATCGGTGTTATTGTAAAACTTAAATATTTGCTTAGAGTTTTTTATTGATTGTACTGTATCAACTTAACTGGTAGTGGTATAACACATACATTTGGTAGGTACTTAGGCTCAAGATCTTTTTTGGATTTTGACTTTTTAAGGTTAATATGCTTTTTATTAAAAAAATAGAAACCTTTAAAGTAATAATGGTTATAGCACAAAGGTACAATAGGTTATGCCTTTACAAACTAATGTAGAGATGAAAATTGAATTTTGCTTAATTTTATTAGAAAAGAGTGAAAATGTTGCATGTCGATCTTATAGTAAAATATGTTACACAAAAATTAAGGGACATTTTCACTGATTGTTAGTAATTTTTTTTTTTTTTTTTTAATATTTGTATTTTTAAGATTTTCTTTTATACACAGTTTTTAGTATACTTTTTCTCTTAATAAAAAGTTTTTTATTTTTTTACAAATAATATTAGATTGGTATTGTTTAATTGTAAAATGATAGACAAATAAATTTGATCCAGACTATAACAGGTCTGGTATAACAGATTGCTTATAGATGTTAATTAGGATACAGTTAAACCTCTCTAAGTGCACTTTTATAAGTGCACATCCTTTATAAATGCATACTAAAGCCTGGTCCCAAACTGGAACTATAGTGTTAAATGCATATTCTCTATGTTTTGCATATGCATTTAATTTTTATTATTAGGCTATCTTTCATAAATGCACTATCACGTGCTGATAGATCATCTTGACCAATAAAATTTCAAACAATTATATGACATTGCTACAGATGATGTATAACCTTCATAATTTACGTTAAACCAGTATAAAAATAGGAATCTCATAACAAACCAGTTTAACATAAATTATGGATGCCACCTTAACTACTTTTTTAGTAAATTCTTTTTCTCTAAAAAAAAAAAAAAAAAAATCTGATGATGTATTTATCAAAGACTTTATTTAATTAATTCATTTTAAATTAGATCTTTAATTAAAACTTTTTTAATTAACTTTTTAAAAAATGATAAAAAAAAAAAAAAAAAAATATTAAAATAATGAATCTGCTGCTTTAGTAATCCCTTTAAATTTGATAATCAATGCTTTTGCATTCTCTTCTATGCAATAATTTTGCACCTCTCTAATTTTTTCATGTAATGTTTTTTAAATAATGCCAAAAAGAACAACTTTAACAAATACACAAAAATTTGAATTCTGTGTCTACGCTCATAATAATAAGAGAACCTGCCCAGAATATATGAAGTGGATTAAAGACAAATGGAAAGTTAAAATTAATAAGCCTATAATAACTCAAATCTTACAAACTAAAGACTAATGACTTTTAAATAAAATCATAAATTCAGATGCCAAGCGACATAGGACCATTACTGTACCAGAGCTTGAGCTAGCGCTCAAGGAATTCATACTAATCTATTAATACCGCACTATTCTAAGTGATGCTATAATGATCGAAAAAGCAAAATTGTTAGCAGATGAACTAGGAGTCCCTGAAGACAAGTTATATTTTTCTTCCAAGTGGCTTCAAAAATTTAAAAAGCGAAATGGAATCTGTCAGATAAAGCTTCATAGAGAAGCAGATTTTGTTGATGAGAATGTTATTACTGAATCCTTACCTTTATTGCAAAGTAAATGCTCTGAATATCCTCTTGACCACATATATAACATGGATAAAACCAAACTTTTTTACCAATAGTTTTTTTTTTCTTTGATAAAATTTTTTTTTTCTTTTTTTTTTTTTAATAAAAAAATTTCTTTCTAAATTGGAACTGGATCAAACCTTAGTGACTCAGCAAATTGCAAGGCACAAAAAAATTAAGAAACATATTTCTGTGACATTATGTATGAATGCTGATGGATCTCATAAGTTGGCCTTTCTTATAATTGGCAAATATGCCAAACTCTGATGTTTCAAAAATGTAAAAATTAATAATTTGCTTATGACATATAGGAGCAATGCTAAGGCTTGGATGCTCATGATTCTTTTTCAAAAGTGGCTTCAGAATTTCAACCACCAAATATTGCAGAAGCATAGGAGCCAGCATGTTCTTTTACTTCTTGACAATTGTTCTAGTTATAAATTAGATGGGTTAACCCTCTAATATGTAGATGTACATTTTTTACCTAAAAATACAACTTCTAGGATACAACCAATGAACGCAGAAATAATCATAGCTTTTAAAAGAGCTTAACATCATTTTCATCTCTAGTAAGTTATTGTATTGTATATTTTATTTCTATTTTATTTATTTTTTTTATTTTTATTGTTTTACTCATTCTTCGCTTTATTATTATTTTATTTATTCACTACAATTTACAATCCCAGTAGCCCCATTTTACTAATAGTCTATTTAATGATAACCAATTACATAATATGGTCTTTAATAATAAGGCTGTTAATGAAGCAAACTATCAGTGAAACAGGGCTGGATATTTGTATTGAATTTCACTCTTTAATTTATTCTGATACAGTAGTTTATTACAACTATTGGATCAAATTTAAAAAAAAAAATTTTTAAAAATATTAGATGGATGTTGGAGCAAGTTAAAGCAGATAATTTCATTCAGGATTTGAAGATGAATGTTTTATAAGTGATCTTGTATATCATAAAGGATTGAAAGAAGGTTTTGGCTGAAACTATATATAACTGCTGGCATCATACAAAAATTCTTCTGTCTAGTACAAATCTTTCAGATGATCTTTGTGAAGCTGATGATTTAAGGCTTGAAAATCTTATTAGGTTACTGAATATTCTCTGTCTTTCAAATATAATAGAAACTGATGAATTCTTAAATTTTAATGGTGAGGAGATTGTTTACAAAGTTTTCTTAAAGGATCAAATCATTAAGAAGCTAGCTTATGTGTTCAGAAATAATGAAAGTATTAAAGTTATGGATGAAGGAAATACTGAGATAATAGATGAAGAGAAAGACAATAGTATAGAACCTGCAGTTGTTAGTGGTAGTTCAGCATTGAATAGCTTGAAAAATGTTCAGATGTTTTTACTTTAGCAGGAAGGCTCAGGTGATCAATTAAAATTAATTAATTTTCTTGAGAAATTTATTAAAAAAATGATGTCAAGTTCTGCTTAGCAAACTCGCATAAATAAATATTTTAAGACATAAAGATTAAGTGGATTCTTTTTAATAAATTGGAGAAATAGGTAAAGAAAAATCTTCTCTATTTTCTACAACTTAATGTATATGAAAAATTGATGGTAATTATAAACAACTCAGAAGTGTCGCAATGATATCGCAGGCTAGTGGATTATTTATGAAAATTAAATAACATTTGGCAGTTTTTTTATTAAATTTATATTTTTTCTTTTTTTTTAAAAAAAAAACATTTAAGAATTGAAAAAAATCTTTAAAATTTTTTTTCAATTTTAAGTATATAAACAAATTTGATTTTATTATGCTATACAGTATTAAAGAAATTATACAATGGAATACATGAATTTATTCTATATTTTTCATGCAAGTTGCATAAATAATTTGTGCATTCAGCAGATAAATGTTTTAAAAAGTTTATAAACTTTATATGCATATGCTCCTGATTTTAAAATTTCAAAACGTAAAAAAAATTTTTTAAACTCACATTTATTTTCGAAATAAGTTACAGCTGTTTTTATCTGGGATATCCAAAAAAAATTAGTCAAATGAAAATTAAAAAATTTTTTTATTACTATAAATATATACATACAGTACAGTTGTAATGCAAGATATTTTTTGATTATGTTTATGATTCAGCATGATCAGTATATTTTTATATGTATGATATATCATATTTCTGAAATTATGCATATACAGTAAAATATAAAATATCAATTTATAAAATTTTTATACTGAAATTACAAATTAATCGAATCAGCTAAAAATCATTCTGCTAAATTTTTTAAGTGTCTCAGAATTTATAAAAACTGTGAAATCTCTAATTATTTTAATTAGCATACTAATAAGTGGGTTTCAATATTAAATTAAAAATTATTTTGATTAGATGATCATAAATTTGTATAACATAACCCATAATTCCCTAAGTGCACACCTTCTCTAAGTGCACATTTATGGTCAGTCCCTGGAGCATGCACTTAGGAAGGTCTGACTATACAATATGGTTTTTATATTTGTTCATAAGAAAGTTCATTAACTTTAAGCAGAATAGCAATAATTATTTGTGAGACTAGTTTGTATAGGATGTTAAAGTTTTGTATAATCTCAATTAGAGATTTAGAAATAAGTCCTTTGAGTATAATATCAAGATAGTGTTGATTGGTTTGAAGAGATATAGGATAAAAGGCATAGTAGTTACTGATTTTATGAATAAGTTTTTCTTGTTGGTTTGTAGATAAATCAAGGTCTGTATGATAAATGTATTCAGATATGCTAGTTTGAATAATATTGGAGATAAGTAATAGGTTTGAGCATATATGTCAATGGGTTGGGGAATCAGCAAGATTGCAGTTGAAATAGTTAGTATTGTAAAATATGTATAAATAAGTTTTGTGAAAGTAAAAGTAGGTAGAGAGCTCATTTAATAAGATTTTAATTTTAAAAGATTTAAGGTGGTTGAGTTTAAAGTTAGTAACATTATAAGTTAGTTTTTGGTTATGGTTAAAAAATAATCAAGTTGATCTCTAATTAATTTGAGAGACCAAGGCTTTCTATTCTGTGTTATGTTTTTGAGAAGACTATATTGCTAGAATGTAGACTCTGCAAATATTTTTGGTAAAGCTTCTAGTTGAATGTTAGATAAAATGTTGATTTCAAAAAATTATATGATATGGATTATAGATGCTTGTGTAATTAAAGTATAATGTAGGTGATGAATTATATTGTTTTGCTAATGAGTCAGCTAAATTATTAAGAATATTATCAGAGTGTGTTTGTACTTTATAAAAGTTAATCTGATAGTTATAAGATTTGATAATATTGAGCAGAGTATGCCATATAGGCCATAAGCTGAATTTGAAAAGCTTGTTAAGGTTTTGAAAGAGTAGTATATATTTTTGAATATTTAGTAATTATAAACTGAGAATCAGTAAAGATATTGATTATTGAGTTGCAAGAAGTGATTGAAACAGCTGAAAGAATTGATATTAGTTTAGCTTTGTAAGAAGATAGCCAGTAATAGATTTTAGCTGAGAATTTGTGAATTATTTGGTTAGAATCATTAACTTGTAACTATCCAATACCTATTGTACATTGGTTTGTACTGATGTCAATTACAGAGCCATCAGTATAGAAGTTAAATATATTTTGTGCTATATTGATAAGGAAATATTGTTCGAGTATATGTGTGGCTTCTTCTTGCTCAAAAATTTCTAATATAGAAGAGTCAGAAATATAGATAGTAGGAACAGAAGATAGAAATAATGAATGTTTAATTGCAGTTGAATGAATCAGATCGATATAGTTAGCATTAAAGTTGAGAGTATTAGAAGAAACTCTTCCAAAAAAATTAGATAGAAATTATTGATAATACATTAATTGTACAGCAATTTGAAACTTTATAAGAGTTAAGGTAGCAACCTGTACAAGCTAAGCATTGAATTGATGAAAAGGAGTAGTGAGTAGAGAGTTCTGTATTAATATTTGTTTTCCAGTATACAATAGAGATTTGGTTGTCATTTTTAAAATATCTGTGAATTTTGTCAATAATAATATCATTATTATTGTATATTAGTAACCAGGGTTTAAGTTTTTTAGAGATGTGTTGAGAGTTGTAAGTGAAAAAGTTGTGTCTAGTTTGTTGATATTGTAGAAGTAATGTTTTAAAGATGTTGTTAGTTGTTATAGTATTTTCTAGACATATAAACCAAAATGGCTTATGTCTTTTGAATACCTGTACTAAGCAAGATGAGAGATAATTTCATTAGAATAGGGTAGTATTATTTGCAGTACAGAGTTGTTTAAGATACAAGATATTAAGTTTTTTAAATTGTTTTTTGAAAGTAATATATTGGAAATCAAAAAAAAAACTCTTTCTAACAATCACTTGAACATGAAATCGATAGAAAAGAAAATAAATTTTCTGCATAATCAGCAATAAGAAAGGTTACAAATAGCACTAAAGGAAAGAGACAGCAACAAGAAGAATAGCAAATGAGCTTAGTAATAGGAAGTACTGCTAGTACTAGCAAAGCAACAGTAAAGGAAAACTCAAGTTTCTTTGAAAAATTTAGCAAGCAAATGAAAATTGTGGGGACTGCTACAGACCCTGTATGTTGATCTGTTTACATCACACAAACAACACGTAACAGATTAGGTAAAACAGACACATGCAAAATAGTAAACAAATAGTATAGACAAACATTGATAGAACAACAAGTAAACAGGATATAGAAAGCACGTGACAGAACATTCTAAAAAATAAGCCACAAAATAGACAAAAGCATGTCACAAAAATATAGAAAGAGTCTGCAAACCATTTTTATAAGAAGAGTGTATTGTGCAATGAACAGTATGCACAACAAGGTTTTCTTTAACAAGGCAGGCAAAACATATGCAGTACCAGATAGAGAAGACAGAATTGTAGCAATACTAATAGAGCAAGACCTATATGAGGTAGCTCTTTTACGATTAACAAGAAAAATACTAAAAAGAGCTGAAGAGGAACAGCTAAAAAAAAAGCTAGACATAACTATAGAAAGCCAAGATGCAGAAAAAGAACAAACACAACACAATTACAACAAAAAGCAACAAGAAATTAAAAGAATAAATCAAGAAGAAAACATCCAACAGAAGCAAGGAAAAAAAAGAACTACAGAGGAAAAACTTGGAAATACAGAAAGACAACAAGAGGAAATTGATACAATGCAAAATGGGAAAAAAACAGTGGTAAGTATAGAAGCTAATAACAAAGCTATATTAAGACCCTCTGGCCAGAAACAAGAAGTCAAAAAACAAGAAAGAATAAATGAGCAAGAAGACATAGAAATGAATAGCAAGCAATCAAGTCAAAACACACTAGAAGAAGAAAAAGAAAGGCAAAAAAGAAGAAAGCAAGAAATAGAGGAAGAAATCAACATTGTAGGAATAGTATTAGAACAAAGTATATAGGCACTAAGTAGAAGAAATTGTAATCAAGGCAACAACCTAATTGCTAACATATTAGCATATAAAGTTCCTGAAGAAACAAAAAGTTTATTAGGTGGTCTCTAAAAGATAATACATATGTGAAAGATATAGATAAAGTATTCAAGAGAGGAAATTTGTGGATAGAAGTAGTCTTCGACTGCAATTATGGCAGAAATGAAGCGATACAAATAATTAATAGAAAAGAGATTAACTGGTACAAGATGATACCAGAAGAAGAAAAAGAGAAAGAGAGAAAAAAAGAAAATCCCAAAGACTACAAGAAGAAACATCAAGATAAAACAAAACACACATTAAGATGTAGGAAAGAGAAGGTTAAAGTAGATGTTAACAGAGAAGATCCATATAATGATGAATATGAGGAAGAAGAAAAACCCAATAACAACATAACTTACCTAACAGTATGGGACCTACCGGCGAATATAAACAAAAAAGAAGTAGAGTATATCTGCAGAAGAATCAAAGATGCACAGATAGTATGCATTAAAAGGTTCAAGTACAAAGCTTTAGCAATAATACAAACACAAAGTGTAGAAAAGGAGGATATTCCATGGTCATTGCCAGCAGACAATAACAAGTTGATGAGAATAACAATTGGAAGAGAAGACCATGAAGCAAGAGAAGGACAAAGAAAATATACAGCCAAATTAACATAAGTATCTAAAAATGCCTCAGAAGTTTTACTATTGCGATGTCTGAGAAGTAAAGAAGCAAAGTCAGTATACATTCCACCAAATCGGAATAGAAACCAAAGAAGAACAGCGCTGATTACTTTCACAACAGAGGAAGACATAATGGCAGCACAATTTAAACCAATCATATACAACAACTTTCACGTATATTGGGTTAATGAAAGAAGAAGAGAGCTAAGAGGAAGAAGCTAGAACAGATCAAGCTAATATTCTAATGCAGAAGAA